AATGACAGACACTTGAAAAGCATGGAAATATTCATTTCGGGGATGAAACATACATACCCTCCAACTGTACTGATTTTGCAAGACAATACTGGAAGACAGATCTTCGTATTTGATCTGACCATAATATCAGTTTGTACAGATTTTCTACAAAAATCTGACATTACTACCACATCAGCTTGTGGGAAACTTTATTCTTTGTGATTTTATAGCTTTAATGTTGTCAGCTCCTCAGTCCTTCTCACCCTATAGCTGCTCCCATTCAAATTGTACTTGGTTCCTTTCCAGTCCTAGCTGAGAACAGCTGAAGCAAGTTGGAGTAGGGATGGAGAAGTTGATATGATTATGTTGTTTTGCGCAAAAAAAAAAAAAAGAAAAAAAAAAAACAAAAAAAAGTTTTTAGGGGCATCTTGCCCCTAGCAGTGGTTTTAACTGCAGTACAGGCAGTGTTGCTAATGCTGCCCAACTTGTTCTTTTGCACTGCTGTCTGTGATCAGAGCACAAATATAAAACAGTAGAATGGCATTTTAAAACTACCAGAAAAATTTTGAAGCTTCCAAAGCAGCTAGGGTATACGTGGGGTGGAGTAAAAGTAACCCAAAATGGTAGCAGCTACATGGCGGGTCCCGTAGAATACATCAGATTCTTAATATATGGCCCCCACATTCCACCACACTTTTAAAGTGACAGCACTATGTAAATAAATACATTTTCATTATATTATTAGATATGTGTTACCTAGGTAAAGAGTCAACTAGCCTTTCGTTGACTTCTATATAATTCCATTACAAACTCATCCAAAAGAAATAAAAAGTAGATATTTAGGGCAAAATTTTCAAAGCACAGTGCGCTTAAAATAGGTTAGTCACATCCACAGTAGTAGTGTGCAAAACATGTTTGCACCAGTTATGGATTTTCAAAAGGCGGCACATCGGAAACTTTTTGTCAGGTCTGCTAGTGGACTTCTCCTCCCCCCCTCATTTTTTATGTTTGTACATATTTTTATAATATGTATTCTTGCACTAGTAAGAGGAGCTCTCACATGATGATATTGGAAATGTATTTATTTATGAGGCTACCTATATAAACAATGTTAACAAAACAAAGTTTAGAAGAGGCACAGATGGGGCGGGGCGCAAATGAAATGCAGGTGCAAGAATTTACACCTGGCATGAGTGGTGTGTGGGTGACATGGCCAAGAAAGTAGACCCAAATGGAATTCTTAAAGGGTGAGAGCCTGCATGCAGCTGGTCATAGAAGAAATATTTTGAACTAAAAAATGTATCCTGCAACATGCCTACACAAGGGGGGCAAGCCCCCACCAGGGGTATTTCATCATTAACTCATTTAGCATGATTAACTCATTTAGCAAAGTGCAGCCACAAGCAAACAAACTGTTTTGCGGAGCAGTCTGTGGCTGGTTTGTATACTCGTAAAATGTTTCCTGCTCGCATTTTGACCAACTTCAGTTTCAAAGAAGGGGAAAGGGAAGAGGAGTGTCCATTGGCTCAGTTGCCAGAGCACAGCCCAAATGCATCCATAGAACTGGGGTTTTAGGCCAAAGATTAATGCCCGACATTTGTCAGAGGAGAAATTCAGCAAGTTTGACAGACTGTCCTGAACTTTAATAAAAACTTACATGGGTATCTGGCGAGTCAGATATAGGTGCCATGCTATACCTGTGATAATTACAGACACCACTGCTCAAGGGAATCCTGAAAACTGGAACCTTTCAGATGACCACAAGGATATCACAAGTATAAGCCAGTCTGATGCCTCTGCATGCATGCAGCAATTTTTGAGAGCCACTATATTAAATTTCCCCGAGAGAGGCAGCACCAAACAGTCATAAAATAATTTTATTCCAAAGTGTATTTTCTGTATGTCCTGTGTGCTACTGATCACACCTATGTTCTGCTGAGAACACCCTCCCCTCAGGTAATTTGATGGCTTAAGGGGATGAGAAGGAGGTTCATTCTATCAGTGAGAAGGTCATTTGTGATGCAGAAGTTTTAATTACAGAGGTAGTAGCACAGTGCCCAACAGCATTTCATGACTCTTACATTCTCAGGAGGTCTGGCTGCTAGGTTTATGTTTAAATTAAAATCTATGATATTATAAGGGATGGTCTCCCCTAAATAATACATTTTTTGTGTGTGTGGAAGAAAATGGTACTTATCCCACAAAGACATGGCTAATGACTCCTGTTCCAAATCCCCTGACTCTCTCAGAGGAAAATTATTATGCTGCCCACCCATCAAGCCACCAGATGCATCAAAGAAGGAACTCTGAAAATGAGAGTCGGGTGCCTAAGTGGCACATTATTGTACAGGCCCCACAATATAATCCTGGCAAGACTGCATATTACCCAACGTAGCCAAGAGCTGTGGATTAGCTCCACCTGAAGGGCTAGAGATTGACCTTGTCAGACCCACAGAGGATAAGAATGATCACGATCCAAAAAGGCACTTACAGGCTAACCCCAACACCTCAGGCCAGCATGCCAGAAACACCAGGCAAAGACTGATTGAACACAGTTTCTGAGGCTAGTATTGCCAAGACCTGTATACTTACCACCACGTCCATAATGCTTGCTCAGAAGGGGTGGGGATAACGGAGAAAAAAAACTCAAACAGCTGCCTCAAGAAATGACTTGTATTTGTAAGAAAAGCAATGAATGCCTGGCACAGTGTAAAAAAATGCTCTCATGAGGCTAAAGTGAAAGAACGGAGGCAAATGTTCTTTAAATACCAGCAGCACACATTGTTAACAATGCAAATATAAACTACAAAATGTTAGACTAATCTAGTCAGCCAGAATACAATGTTTAGCCAAATGTATAAATGGTTGAGTTATGCCACTCATGGCCTTATGGCTAAGAATTAAAAGGACAGGCACATTAAAAAAAAAAAAAAAAACCCTAAAAATCCATTAATTAGTGTGACTATTTTTTCTTCCCTCCCCCTTTTGCCTGGCGTATAGGCATGGGCAACGAGGCCCTCTCAGTTATGGCTCTCTGCAGCCGGCCACTGCGACGCGGCACAGTAGCCTGTGGTGGTTCTCGAGAGACACTTGTTCCTTGATCCCCTGGTAAATATACAGTGGAGGCTGCCACTGCATCCTCACCAGTCCACGTTGAGGCACTGGTTAACTCAACATGGGGGGTGGCTCTTTGGGAGATACGCGTTTCAAGGACCTGCGTCCTTGGCTGTTTGAGGAAAGCTAAAATCTCAGACAGGTAGTTATGGATGGCTCTTGTGGATGTAGCCACAATGCCTAGCTGCAGCTCCATGCGGCCCATGGACTGTGACATGAGACCCATGGACTGTGCATGCTCCCTCTTGATATTTTCCAGCAGCTGCACAATCCTACTGTTGGTTTCCATCAACAGCCTTTCCCCCTCTGTTAGGTGGGGCTGCCCTCTCCAACCCTGATCCCTAGTGACAGGCTGAACACCATGGTGCTCTTCATTCATTTCATCATTTCCCTCCTCCTCAGGAGAGTCACTTTCAAACTGAGGAGTCCTACTGAGTGACTGATCCCCAGGAGACGGTATGTCCATTGTACACTCTGGAGTCCGCTCTGGTGTTTGAAATCCTTCAAAATCTTCCCCAACGTTGCTGTGCGTTTCAGACGACGACAATGGCCACTGCCAACTCTCTGTTGTTCTGGCTGGTGAATCTTCATCGGAAGCAGGCTCTGAGGATTCCTGTTCTTGTTCAGGCGTGGAGGGTGAGCTCGCTCTCTGACGTCTGGGTTGCCCCGAACATCCAGGAACCTCCCCATCTTGCTCCCCAGTGACATCTGGCAATCAAATAGAGGAGCAACAACCACTGTATCTGAGGCCAGGAAGATGGAGGAATCTACATGCATTGGACAACACATAGAAAGAAGCCAATTGGGAAACCACAGTGTTTGTGTTTGGGCAAATAGAAGGCCAGACTAAAGTCTAGTGGCTGAACTGGGTATGTGGCAGTTGAAGTTACTAACCACTTTATACAAGTGCATGCTGTCCTGCACCCATAACACACACAACTGTGCTGCATCCCATGGCATAACTACCAATACACCTCATTGTGATTGTGACAGGAAGTGTCAGTGAACCTCTCAAAAAGCTCACCTATGAATTGCAGTGGTGTCACAGTCAGAAATCCCTGTGATGAGCTCAGGGTCAATTGTCCAAATGAGTCTCCTGTGGTGTCAGATGTGCGCCACCACTGGTCTGTGTGGTAGCCCTTTGCTGTTCTGAAGCACTGCTGGCTATCTTCTCTTTTGTCCGACGTTTCACATCAGCCCACCACCCCTAGTGTTTGGGTTCCCCCCTTCTCCCCGCCAATCATTGCTGTAGAGCAACTGTGGTTGCCAACAGCATTTATCCTGTGAGCAATGGCCTCCCGAGCCTTATCTTTTCTGCATGCATGATTTTCCTCACGGCTTTCTCCAAACAGTATGCGAGATCCTATTTGAAGACATTGCTCACTAGGATTTTTTCCTCCCCAACCCGGATTTTTCCCTCATGTAAGATAAACTTCATTTTGTTCTCTCTTGGCTGTGTCTTCCCTTGCCTGAGGACAGTTGGTGGAAATGTGGGTGCAAGCGCTTCCCTGTGCACAATGTAATATGGAAGGAGGGGAGATTGATTATGCCATTCAAGAGGACATTGCAAATGTATTTACTCTAAATCCACCCACATATAAAAATATACTCCCACCAGCTAAAAATGACTAGACTTTTTGCACACACTCATTACAGTATGATCTGCTCAACACCATTTCTGACTGCATTTGTGGCTGGAACCCTCACCCTTTTCATGCTTGAGACAAACAAGTAATGAGCCTATCATGTTTTGGGGAGACAATTTGATTATAAGCAATTTGTCTGAGTCTGTTCAGCTAATTCAATAATTCAGCCCTAAGAGCCTGTATTTTTCACTTTCAGGCAAAGAAATATGTGGAAACTCCAGTGTAAGACTGTCACATCTAAGTAACAGCAGCTCCTGATCATCACTGACTGTTTGTTCTGTATTGTTGGAGCTAGGATGTGAGGAATGCTAATTCCATGTCATATCCATGACCTGGCACCTCAGTCTAGAAAAATGTTTTACTTTGACTAAATTTTGCTCTAAATTTTGCACACCATATGCTGCTCTTAAGAACTTCATCCAGAGTTGTGTATTTCTCTCTGATGAGTGCTTCTCAGCTCAGGTTAAAATTTCATTCATTTTTGTTAATAGATTTATTGTTTGTTAAGGAATTTATAGGTGATTTTATTTATATATATATATATATATTTGTTCTTGATTTGTAGAGACCTAAGGATCCTTCCTCAGAGCCCCAAAGATCCTTTAATGAGTATATTTATACATTAATCCATCTGTCTAGGTTATCATTAGGGTCATCATCATTCATTGAGGGCCTTGGGTATTTTATTTATCTAAAGGGTAACTTACAGATAATTATTTAATTTTGGTTCATTCTTATGCTGGATATTATTTGTCAATTTAAGTCACCACTTTAAAGTATTCACATTGTGTCTGATTGGACTGTCCAGTTGCATGTTTTATGGAAAGTGAGGATGAGATTGTATTTGTAAAAACGTATGAGCTCCTTATGGAAATGAATATTAGGGACAAGTTGTCATGCAGTCATTGGCTGTTCCACTGCATAAACATTTTGAAAGGGACTTAGACATTATTACTCTGTAACATGCATTGCTTTGGAAAACTCTTTTTTCCTAAGACAGCCACACCTTTATTTCCAAATATCTTTAATCATCTACAGTGTAGGACCATGAAATTAATTCTCAAAACTTATAGGGTAGACATGCATAAACAGGGGACCTCTTTTCTTAACCACACAAAGCAAACACGCATTCCAGTTAATCTGTATGGGATCAGAGAGATAAAGGTAATATATATATCTCAGTTGTGCGAGCAGTCATACAAAATATATAGTTCTTTTGATAGCATCAGAAAGTTCCCCATATTTGAATACTTCATTCTCCTGACAAACACTTTGAACAGAACCCACCTAACAATGGTACATAATAGAACTTACTCAAATAATAAAGAGCAAAAACGAAAATAAAAAAAAACAGTCCTAATTTGTGAATGCTTTTGTCAACATCACTTAGTTTAGTTTGATTGGTTGGAGGAAGGGGGGGTGGGGAGAGATTAGTTTTGTTGTTCTATATGAAAGTATCCGTAACCCTGGAAGGTTTCACAAATTTTAGCACAAGTGGTAATTTATCTAAAAATGGAATTATGAAAGTTTACAAATTGTCATTCTCCTATTTAAATATTTTCTGTCCCCAAGACATGGAGCTAGAATGGTATCATCTGGCATGGGTGACCAATCACAAAAATGACAAATATTCCAAGCAAATATTTTGTGACTAATAAGCTGATAGATAGTTATTAAACCTATTGGCAAATACTTATGCACAATGAATACATTCACAGATACTAGGATAGGTTTGCTAACTGGCGACTAATGAAAAAGGGACTAAATTAATAACTTATATTGTTCATAAAAAGAGTTTGATCAACTCAAGTAACTGTTTTCCATAATGTTTATTAAATATTGGCATGGGAACATGGGAGCATTACAGGCATAGCTTTACACATACTTTTATTGATCGCAGGTCAATCATGGGAACCTTAGCTCAGAGTCAAGAATGGTATCAGTTTCTGCCCAAGAAATCCTTTCCTTGATGACTAAAGATCGCCTGATAAATTCAGACTGGAACTTAATATAATGGCACCAGTTGCTATACTGAACTGGGGAAGTGATGTGTCAACAGTCATAGCAGCAATGGAAAATCTGATTTGCTTAGAAATTGTACTGTTCAGCTGACCAAATGGCTCCCTGCCCTGACAAATGGTGACAGCAGGATTAAAACCAAACCAACTGCCCTGGTCTACACTAGGGAGTTATTTCAAAATAACAAGTGGCATGTCCACACTGCCAAGTCTGTTATTTGAAATTAACAGGCTAGTTGTTTCCAAATAATAACTTCTGCTTTCCATGAGAAATAATGCTTATTTCAAAATAGCAGTAGCATGGACGCTCCACTGCTGCTATTTTGAAATAACTACTCCCCAGAGTCATTCAAAGTAATTACTCCCCAGTGCTTCAAAATAATTTCCTAGTGTAGAATGTCCACTGTTACCTGAACTAAACTAACTAACTACCTCAACCCTACCTCCTGACAATGGGCTGACTCTTCACGAGCAACAGTAAATATGCCAAGTTATTGGTACAATAGAGACCATAAACATTTAACAAAATATGAAATAGTAAATCAGTGTTGTTCTTAATTGACAAAGAAATGTCGTTTTAAAAGAAGTTTTAACCATAGTGGGCACCACTACAATGACAATGGCAAAGGGAAGGGAGAGGAACTGCCCGGACTCCCTGTGACCTCAATGATAATTTGCATTCAATCAAGCAATGCCTGTACCACCAGCTTGGTAGCCTATTTGTTCATAATGGTACATAAGACAGCATAGTTGAATGCTAGGCTTACATTTCTCACGAAGTCATTTTATTTTCTGGCTGCATACACATACCTCAATGAGTGAAGCAACAAGTTTTGATGGTCTCAGAAATTGTGGACTCATTCCATGTCCCTGATCTCACCGTGCTCTGACACAGTGAGACTTTAGCCATGGCCCAATTTGTCCAGTAGAAAAATAGCAGAGGAATATGCACATGGTGACTGAGGGGGAGACTAAGGAGTTGGGGGCCCATTGCTCTTTTAAATTTAATGTTTGGTCACAGAGTAAGTACCTGTTTTCCAAAAATCACATCTGTGAGGCACTTTCACATCTGTGGAGGATAGCTTCTACTTCAGCCTGTTGATTCTACTGCATTTATCAACACACCTGTCTGTTTTTTAAAGATGGCCCATGTATAGAAACTAACAAGTCAGTATGAGAGTCCCCTGTTTCTCTGGCAAAAAATAGGCCTGACTGATTATGTGATCACAGTACTGACACTTGCATGTACCTGTTGCAATCAATCAGTCTTTTCTGGAAAGAAAACTTTCTGGACCTTATGCAATGTTTGTAACTTCTTTGGATGGTCAAAGTGACATATATGTCATCTCTCTGTTGCCTGTGTTCTTCTACTCCTTGCCCTGTACATAAACTACATATTCTCAATGATGCAGGCAGGACATCTATTAAATAGTGCCTGGAGGCAGGAGTACACCAAGTCTCTGGAAGCATGGATAAAGTCATGGTGTTGGTATACTGCTTTGTCGTGCTGGATCATTGCACTATGAAAGTCGTTGTCACACTTGCATGGTAACAGTCCTTCCAATTTGCCAGTAAATGTATTTAGGATGCTGGAGATGGTTTCCGTTGCATTTTGTCATTTGTAATCCGAAGAAAGCTGTAAGGCCTCCCCTGCTGTAGTGACAGCAGACCAACATAGAAGCCAAGAACAGAGCCTAGGCTACACTGGGCACTGGATAGCAGGCAGAGGTTATGGACAGCAGACGTATTTATTCAATTTTTGTTCATTGGAGTATATGTGAGAGACTTAAGCCTGTCTGTGCCTTACCTACCACTTGGCCTGGCAGTGGATCCCTCCCCTGAAGTGTGCTGCTCTTTAAGAATCCCTCCTTTTCATATCCCACAATTTCTTTTTCACCTCTGCTACTGGATCATTGCCATTTCCAATATCTTTAGTTTCCCCCACAAATGGAGCTGGACTTGAGGTGTGGGGCAGCGTCAACCTGCTGACAGGTCTGTGGAGATGTTCCTTGGGCACAACAAATGTAGCCAGGAGCTCCACAACAGCTTTAATACAGTTGAGGCGCTTCCTGGGACCTGCTACTGCTGTTCTGAACCTGGGCTTTTGCCTGTATCTGCATCATGCGTCCTGTTGCATGTGCATTTTTCGAACAGTTTAGGTACTAAGGTGATAGGTGCCTTGTAAATACCTAAGATAGATACAGACAGAAACTGTGCCAGGCACAATCAATTACACAAAACTTATGTGGTTTCACTGATACTTTTTATCATCTAAAATCAACCACATTCAAAGACTTTGCATTTTTCTTTTGAAAAATGATGGTCATGCAGTGTATCTATTCCTCCCCGCACTTTCACACTTTTGAAAACTTAGCCCTTTCTGTATTTAACACACACACAGTCTTGATTCACTGCCTCATCTACATGCAAGATGCAAAGTTCATCTCAGTTTCACTGTTTTCGCTAGCATAAACAATGAATGCTTCCTGTTTTCTTGTCATGAATCTGCAAAAAACCACTTATTTATCTATGTCAAATGGTGATGGGCATATCTACTCCCTCCGTGGAACATTTAGATGTAGCTAGAGTGTACCGGAATTAAAGATATACTCAGTTATATACAGGTATTGGGATGCATGTGTATTTTTAAAATCTGTTTCTCAACAGTGTGCAAGTATTGTCCAAAATGAACAGCTTTTGTATGGCGTTTCAGAGGGGTATCTGTGTTAGTCTGTAATTTTAAAAACAATGAGCAGTTCTGTGGCACTTTAGAAAATATAGTTATTTTGTTTTATGGAGAAATTTCATTGATTCATTTGAAATCAGAAGTGAATAAAAATCAGGTATGTGAAGTACAGTGGGTTCAAGCCAATGTTCCCTGTAATCTTTTCCATCCATGTGTGGAATAAATTATTTTATGTGCACTGAGGCACGTGTGAATTGCACCACCAATAGAAATGAAAAGCCCATATGTGCACATTCTGCTAATCAGCTGGGTGGCATTTCCATCTCTCTGGAGTGGATACACAAATGCAACGCTTACAGGAACATTGGTCTAGGCCAACGTTTACAAACTTGCATGTCTAAAATTAATTAAGCAGATAGCCTGCAGACATGTTGCATATCTTGTAGACATTCATCACCTCTGAAAAAGAGTTCAGGCCACTCACTTTGCAGGTATCTGAAGTTAGATTTACAAGACTATATTTAGGTAGACATGCTGGAAACTGTTGGCTTAAGTTACCCATACAAGTAGGATTGGGTGGAACAAAATATATATATATATATATATATCTCAAAAATATAAAATTTAGCAAGGAAGACTGAAGCAAGCTGTTTAGTGCACTGCATGATACCACAGAAATGTGCAAAACCCTGGTTCTGAAACATCATCCTGAATGGTAAAATCTGATCCAAATTTGTAACTTGGGACTCTCTCTTGTGATAAGAAAGCAATATGAGCAATCAAAATGTGCCAAATAATTTCTTTTAAAATAGAAGAATAAAAGTAATTCTGTGATTTTAAAACATTTAATAGATTGAAATTAGAGGCTTTACAGTTACTTTTAAAAAAAGATACCAGTGCCAAATATAATAATAATAATAAAATATTTGCAGTTTTCCACTCAAAGTTAGACCAATGTTCATAGATAACATAATTTCAGTTGTTCCCATGCTGGAGAATTTGCCATAATGGCATATATATTAACAAGAACCATCTGGACCACCAGTTTGCAAGATGCTCTATGTGGATACATGGCTCCACTCAAAACAACCACTTGCAGGATCCCACCCAGTTACAATGTCAGATTCAAACATTTATCCTGGTGCAAATATTATGCAGGGAAAAAAAAAAATTTCAGTGGGTATGAAAAGGAGAAAGTAATGGAAAAAAAACTTCAGTGGGTATGAAAAGGAGAAAGTAATCTGGGCTTTTACAACATCGTTCTGAATAAGCTACAATTTCTGAACAGCATGAAAGTAAAAACAAACCATTTAAAAAAAGGTTTCCTTTTAAGAAAATTGGCGAGAAATACACTTTATGTGGTTTGGGATACCTTACATGGAAGACCAAGAAAGAGAAAGAATATCTAAAAATAAGCTATTAGAACATAAAAACTGGTTGCTGGTAACAATAGATCAATTAAACACATAAATCAATCACCTTAATACCTATAAATATCAAAACATGATTCACAAGAGCATTTGGCATTTATCTATTCACACGAAAGAAGAATCTAGGTTATTTGTCCCAGAAAGCTTATATGTTCAGTTGTGACTCAGTGTTTTCACTGCAGTGCATATAGATCATGTTTGCATATTAGGAACATATCAGACCCTTATAAGAAAATTCTAAGAGAGGCAGACATGAACAAGTGCTATTTTTGGTATGTTAAAATTCTTATAGGCCCAATTTTCAAACACCATCTCTTCAACAGTAGGTCCAAAAACAAGTAAGCAGAGGCATTTAAAATGTGCCCAACGTCTTAAAATTCAACCTACCTTACAAGGAGTTTCCTGCCTTGTAAGAGGAATGGTCAGTGTGTACTGAAATCCTGTATGCAAAACAAAAACAAGAACAGAAAATAAAAAAAAAAAAAATTCACATCCTGCAAACCAGGTGGGATTTTAAGGACTGAGAACAGAAAATGGTATTTGAATATCCTGTTTAAGAGAAAGCATTTGAAAACTGGGCTCTCATAGGAAAAAAAGAAAAAGAAAAAAAATATGACAAAAAAAGTAGTTATTTTTGCAGTCATTTTCCGTGAGACATGTGCTCTCTTTTCATACCAAGGAAAGAAAAAGCAAACCACCACAAGATAGCAAAAACATTTATTTTATTTTTTTTAAAGAAGTTAATAAACATGGAATAATGAACTATTACAGAAGGGAAATGGCAAGAAAAAAAAGGGCTATTTTTTGTTTGTTTGGTGAGATGAGGGAGACAGTTGTTCATCCCCCTGTTCCTGCAAGAGAGAGAGAACATATTTTAAAAAATCGAAAAAACTTTTCTGTTTATGCAGTTGTGTCACATTGTAAACATCACTGTTTTTTTTTTACTGCCCATAAAGAACCCATTCCTGTGAACCCAGTATTACATATAATTATTCATAAGAATTCTCTACTCTCCAATTCCAGAACATCCTCACTCACATGCCCCCAAATAGGTTTTCTTTGCACACTTACAATTTGTTTTCCAGTTTCTCCCTCACGGTTGTCTTATTTGGATGGTGAGGAAACCTCTTTCACTTGCTGTTCTATGGCAAAGAAAAACAATTAAATACAGTCCCTGTTATGAAAGGACTCCATATTTAGGAATAATCAAATGAATGGGGTTTCAAGTAATGAAATTCAGAATAGTAATACTAATTGCAATTGATAGCTGTATGTTGAATTCATTTCTATTTTCTACCGCCAACCTTTTCAAGAATCTTTAGGGGGTAGCTGAGTTAGTCTGTACAGGATAAACTTAAACAACTAATAATCTGGTAGCACTTTATGGACTAACAAAATATGTAGATGGTACTATGAGCTTTCGTGGGCACAGCCCACTTCTTCAGATAACCAGCAGAAGTGGGCTGTGCCCATGAAAGCTCAAGATACCATCTACATGTTTTGTTAGTCTTTCAAGTGCTACTGACAGTTTTATGTGCCTAACTTTCAGAGGTATCTAGCACTCACTGTTTACCTACTAACTACTGATGAAATTGTCAGAGTTCCTAAAAAGTCAGACTCAATGCATTTACAACTGGGCACCCAAAATTATGGATACTTGAAAATGTAAGCTAAGGCTTTTCTTTTCCCAATACTCTTAACTCTAAATACCTTTTTTATTGCATATTTAAAACAGAGATGGCAAATGTATGGGCCAGATTCTATTCTCTGCTACACTGGTGTGAATCCACAGTAAATTCTCTGAAGTAAAAAAAAAAAGTCTTAGCTACCTCAGTATAAATGAAGATGAGTATCTAGAATCATAAGAAAATCTAAATTCTGTCCTCAAAAACCATTACTGCGTGTCCTCGTAATGGTAACAATTCAAAAATTCATTATCACTATTTGTGATTGTGTTATCAATTAACATGGACCATAAGTAACAAAAATACATTACTTACAAGAGCATTCTAGAGGTACTCTTCAGTAAACCTGGAGCTCCAGTGCCTTTTTTTCTTTTCTTTCAATAGAGTCTCTGGAAAACCTTCTTCCTATTTACAACCACTGTTGGTAGCAGAAGTTAAAGGGAGTTGCAGAAGTAGTGTTGTTGCTATTTTATTTCTGCAGATATAGCTCGATCATTATTTCACCATGTTGAAACAAAATGGTTTCTGAATCCTGTGCCTTCTGTGCATGATTTCATCAAACACAGAGTATCTTTTTTTGTTTCAACCTTTATATTATAGCATTCACACATGTATTTGCTCTGTGAATTCATTGTTTCAGATGTCATTAAGCCATGCCACCTTTGAAACAATGGGCAACAGGAATGGGATGGAGTATGAATGTTTGTTGGATGACAGAGCCAATAATATTCATTTTGAATGCTATTAACTGATTTTTTCCTAAATAAATACTGTACTATTACTTGATGCCAGATACAGAATAGACCTCTGTGCTGCAGATTATTATATACCTGCAAGATTGTACCAGCATCTAATCTGAGCGATTTCTACATCTATGTTTGATATTTATACCTTAAACCCAATAGGATAAGTAGATTTTTCTTTTTGAACGCGATACAAAAAGGATACCCAAGGAGGACACCATCCAAAACTTTCCAGCCATCACTAACCCAGTATTTTGGGATCCAAATTTATTTTCCACTCATCTAATCCATACTTTGTTTTATTACAGTCTTTGGTAGGCTCAGAAAAAATGGAATTATATTTGTGTTCTCCATTTCTTTAGTTTCTCTCTTGACCTTTTAAAGTTCTCTACTTCACTAAAACAGCTAATCGTTGCTGTTTTCTGCTAAGGCCCTAGAAAAAACAAAATCTAAAGGTGCTTGATAAATCAAATCCATTCCTTGCTAGAAAAATCATGAGACCTTTGAATGTAGAATATGTATCATAACCAAATCAAAGACAAAAAATTAAAAGCAACTTTTCACAAGCCAGATGAGTTCATCCTACTTGTTTTTAATTACATTCAAGATTCTCTTAATACTTTTTACATATAAATTTAATATGTCCAACTACTGAAATAAAATTATGCTGTAAATTATGGTGGGAGAAACAAATCACTCAGTTCAAAGTAATTTGATTAGCAGCTTGGAAAGATGACTTTTTAAACGGATATTTATTTTTTTTTTTGTCATGAGACTAATAAATGAAACACAGTATTTTGAAGATTTTCTTTCCACATGGTCAATTAAGTGTATTTTTTTTACATATACACCGTAACTTAAAATGAATCCACTATTTGAATTTAACATCTTTACTTACTTTAATTTAATGCATAAAATTTTTATTTTATCTTCCCTAAGACTGATGGGGACACTTGCACACACAATAGCTGTAGTTTTATAACATGATGTTGCAACAAAGAGATTTGTTGGGATACGACTGCTGTCTCTCACATTTAATAATTCTTTACTTGCCAATAACAAAAGAAAAGGATTCTTACTTTTAAAAAAGTGTGTTTTGAAATTTAATGCTGTCCCTCTTTGGTGGGCAGTTGTGGTGAGCAGAAAAATGTCAATGCAGCAAACTTAGTATTTGTTGAGGTTTCAATGGTCAGTGACATCAGAACTTGAGTAGAAGCTAGAATAATGCCTAGGTAATTTTTTTCTATGAGGATGCATGACAAAGTTTTTATTACTTATGTATCTAACTAGAATCCCCTATCTGGAGAGAACCACCAACAATCTATACCATTCCTCTCAACCAAACAGAAAATAAGCACACACACACAAAAAAGTCCCCTTCCTCTCACCTTCAACTAGGAAACATTAATTGTATTGAATTACCCTATGAAAGCTAATATAATTTTTTGTTATGCATATACAGCTATAAATATATACATATCTATATTTGCTATAAAAATCTTATGTCAAAAAAACTACTATTGGTGTATTCTATTTTGAAGAGACAGTTTCTAAGTAATCTTGCCCTGAGCAATAAATGTACCATTAGTTGATCTTGCTAGCAGCAGAAAACTGTTCCAATGTAAGGGGAGGTCAGAAAAGATTTTTTTTTAAAGCAAAATGGAAGAAAACACAACTAATTTATTCTGTATTATCCTAACAAGATACAGAAGAAATGTGTTACCTAGAAATTATCTTCCCTATCAGCAATCTTAGCTTTCTGCCACTGATTATAATTATACTAAAATATCATGCAGAGGCTCAGTAAGGACTCAGGCCCTCTCTTGGGCAAGGAGCTATACGAACATGTAAAGAGACAGTCCCTGCCCAAGAGCAGCTTACAATATAGGAAGGCAAGTGATATACAAAGGGTGAGAAAAGGAGGATACAGCTAAATACAAGCAAACTTGTATATACATAAATATATTTACATTATGGCAAAATATAAAAGGCCAATCTGCCCTACCACCTAGCCGTTATTAAGTGGATGGCTGCTATTTAGAAATCCCAGCAGATGTAGATCTCAAGGAGAGATTTAAATAAAAAGAAAGTAGTGGCCTTTTGGATCAGTTCAGGGAGGGCATTCCATGCATACGGGACAGTGTGGAAGATTGTTTTATTATAAAACTGAAATTGTGCAGAGCAGCATTTTTCCAGGTCAGAGTTTAAGCTGTGTGTGAAGTTCCTAAGACAGACAGTGTGGTTATGTGAGTAACACTTGTCCATTAAGAGGACAAGTGAAATCACAGATGTAGGACTACACTGATATGTTACTTGTTACTGTTTCTCAGTGGCTGCCAGTTAGCACAGTAACTCTGAGGAGATGATATGAAAGGGTTTGGGGAAAAAATCTGAGACAAGAAAAATGGGGTTGGATGGAGAAGAGAAGACAAAGGAAGAAATGAAGGAAATATTTTCAAATGTGTTCTTTTGATTGAAAGTTAGTTCTTTATGTGTTTGCAAGTTATCAGATAAATAACTAAAACATATACAATATTTAAACGTATGTTTGACACCATAAAATAAACTGGACCATATGCCAACATTTATAGTTATGCTATTATCTTTCACTATGGAAAGGTGAGAAACAGATTAAACAAGAGACAAAATGCTTCCCCTTACCCTTCTTCTTCCGTACTGAAGCTTGGAAATAGAAAGGGAATGAATTGTAAATCAATTCTGAAGGTAAGCCCATTTTAAATGCTAAATCCTTGACTGATTTTTGAACACAAACATTTTTCTTCTATTCTTAAGAGGTGAATCTCTCCATGCTAGCTGTGGATTGGGCATATATTTTTCAAACCACTTTAAGCATAAACATCTTGGCATAGCCCAGTTTATCAGGGTTCATACTTTGACTACAAAAAATTAGTGAGTTATAAAACTTAGATTCTGTGGCTATGCAATGTGTTTTTTTACATTAAAAATAAGCAATTTGGGCACTTATGATATATAAATGGGCTATGAAAAAGGGCATTTTAACATCCTTGGAGTTTGAAAGTGGAATGAATTGTAGACAAATTGTATTTGTCATTAGTTAATACTTTGGATTAAATTTCTTTGTAGGAGAACAACTCTCGTTGTTTACATTAGATGGGGCACCCATACACTATTATGGAGAACAGAGTAAAATATGTCAATACAAGCAGAAATAGAAGGGGTTCGGAGACAGGCAACGAAAGTGATGCGAGAGACTTCCATATGGAGAAATTGAAAAGATTAGGACTCTAGTTTAGAGAGGATACTAGAGAGGGGACAGGATAGAGATATACAGTATAATGAATGATATCAAAAGGAAGGGAATTCCTTTTTTACCCTTTCTTGCTATACAATAACAAGGGAACAGTCAATGAAATTAAAAGGCAACACATTGATAAAAGAAAATACATTTGTACATAGCACATAATTGGCGGGAAATCTTTGCTGCAAGATATCACTGAGACTGAGTTTACTAGATTTAGAAGAACTGTAGATGTCATTCACATATATAAACCTACTACAAATATTCTCTTGTACTTCAGGGCATAAGCCAACCTCTAAGCAATGGAGATTAATAAGGACATTTCCATATGAAATTTCAGTATTGTCTCCTATAAGGTTTTGTGTACCTTCTGTTCATAGCCAACGAATAATTTATGCAATGCTAAGCAGCCTTTAAGGGAATAATGTATCTCTGGAGTGAGTTTAAACAGTACTGGGCAAAGGAAACTTGAAATTGGAGAGTTTGTTCCATCTGCATGTTAGAGTAAGGGAAGATGTACTTTGTTGTTGATTTTTTAAATGAAGGTGCAGTCATCTTACTGATGCTCAAAATATTTGTTTCTGATTAGGATGCCAATAGCCATAAAGCCCCCTGGAATAATAAGTAGGGCTGAAGAATGTTCCACCTTGAGTAGAAAACACTTGCAGCTACAAAACAAGTTTTTGAGCCAACTGAAGGATTGCTCTTTCCTGGAAGAGTTCTTTCCAGTGCTCCTTCGCTAAAAGAATGATGTGATTATCCTGCTCTCACACACAGACTTTCTTTCAGCTTGCTGTCACTGAGCACGTGCAGGTGTAAATAGCAGTGAAGCTGTGGTTGCATATGTAGCAGCAGCAGAGATATGGCTAAGCTATCCTGTGCACCTGTGGGGTTCAGGAGAGTTTGCACTTCACACAGCTAAGCCGTGCCTGTTCTGCAACTGCCTGTGCTACCACGGTAATGCTGCTGTTTATATTTGTGCTGGCACAAGCATGTGTCTGCAAGCAGGGGAATCACATGCTTATATTATAGTGCAGATGTTGCGTACAATATGACAATAGAACTGTAAAGAGGTAGAAATATAGGAATCTTGTCAGGCTTCACAGTGACATGGAAGACTCTGGCAGTGGGTGAGTAGGAGGGCTGCCTAAAGAAAAATTACTTCTGGAATATTTGCATGAAAACAAGAATGGTTTCAAATTAAACAAAATTTTAATATTCTATGAAGGAAAAGAGTCTCAAACGCTGGAGGAAAACATTGGTAATTAACAGATAATTAAAAACTTGCATTCAAATAACTAAGGTTATGACAAAAATAATTAAAGCTGTGAAAATCTGAGATCTGTACAACCCCTTCCATGACCAAACTAATAGAGCATAATCCTTTGTTTTGGATTGGTTGTAATATGATCCAGAATAATTAGGGCCCTAGTCAGCACCCCCTTTCTGATCAAAACTCTCACTTTCAGACAGAGAGAGATTGCATCCCCATAAAATTAGTGCTTTCAAATGGATCACCTTTATTTTATTAATGTGGTTAATTATCTAAAAGACTTGATTCCTTTAATCTGACTTTCATCTGAATGGACGTTAATTAATGGCTAAAATACAATGATTATGAAACCTGTATTGTTAAATTCCTGCAGGATCATAGTAAGAGAAAGAAGAGACCTAAGAGATGACCAACTATGTTACTATGCGCGAGTGACATAATTCCTTTGTATAAAATACATCAGATGATAATCTTAAACTGTAGCCATATAGCCATATCTTATCATTTAATTCTGTCTTTTGCAAATACTATCAGATCATAACATTTTTTTAGTCTAGACTACTGAAGTACCACTTTTCTTCTGACCTCACAGGAAATAAAAATACATTCCTTTCTTCCTGCCATGTAGACTAAATCAGAAATCCCAAGCAGTTATACAAATCTACAGTATACAACGCTCTGTTGAGACAACTCCATTTACATCATTCAGCAGAATTAGCCAACCAAAGACTAAATGTTCATCACTTTTAGAAATACAAAGTTAACAGAATATTCTATTATGTTTGTGTTCAAACATAAAAGTCAATATTTACAGATTAGAAAATCTAATGAGGACTAGTTGCAGTTGAAGGTGTAATGCTTTAACAACTGTCAACTTTTCAACAGTGGCTTCTGGCAGCTTACCTTTATCCACTAATGAGAGGCCACAGAAATTTAAAATAAAACAATATTAGATGAACTGAAAGATTAAAAAGCAAGCTAATAAAATATGATACAGCATTACTAGGCAAACTTGGATGATGCATAAAAATGTATCAACATTCTCTTGCAGAGCAGTAAAGGCACACATTTTAAAAAATCACTCATGCAAATCATGCATATTTTGAACTCTCCAGAGATGCAGCATTCCTGAAACTTTTCTGTATCATGTACTGTAAAAGGTGCAGTTCATTTAAAATAACTTTAAAGTTTTCTTATATCCCCATTATCTCAGCATGCTTGTTAAAAAATACTTTCTTACCAAGCTCTTCAAGCTCTGAGGTCATTGACTTAGACCGCAAGGTCAATGCAGTGGTTGGCGCTCGCTTTGGAGGTGGTGGGGCTTTGCATTAAATAAAAGGATATACAGTATAAGTAAATATACATCTCAAAAGCATTGTATATTCACATATACACATTGTTAGATAAAAGTAAATCACATAGATTTTTAAAATCTATAAAAATGTGCATTCAATTTCCCATATATTCATGATAGCAGTATCAAATGCATATACACAATTTCTTTTGGGGGTAGGAAACAAAACATACAGTATGCCATCTGAAGGCTTTGGGAGCTTTTCAGCTATTGCATTTTTAACAATTTTTGGTTTTACTGTTAGTCAAAAAAATTAAACTTAGAATGATACACATTAAAAATCTTTAAGCTACATATTTATTCACCTGTGTTTTTAATTTTTTTCACTTTACATTAAAAATCTTTATTCACCTGTGTTTTTAATTTTTTTCACTTGTACCTATCATATTGTGTATGGACACATGTAAAAAAAAAAAAAAACTAAGGACAGTCCACTTCATAATCATGTGTCATCCTTTCAGGTAGTAGCAGCTCAGGGACACACTTTGCCCTGAAGGTCAGCGCAGGTTCTGAGAAAAAGGAATTCCAAATTTCAGTAACCTCCAGTGAAGTTACCTGTCCCTCAATTCCAATGACTATTAATCAGAGGACACAATCGAATCTCAGTGGTCGTGATAGCGAAAGAGATGGTTCCTTAGTTTACTAGGAGCCAAATCACGTAGGTCTTTAAACATTTATGCAAACAGCTACTTTGCAGTCTTTGGAACAGGGATGTAAGTTAACATTGTTAGAGAAGCAGAGCATCAGATTTTTTTGCACCATGGATAGCTTCCAAGTATTTTTCATGGAGTGCTGCTCTATAAAGCAGCACTCCATGAAATAACCTCTATCTGGAGATCATTAAAGATAGTCACATGTCATAGAGAAACTCTGTTATCATGACAAATGTAGATAACCAGGAACTTGTGGGGACACCAGCAGCAATCCAGGATCCTGAAGTGTCCCAAACTATAAAGCACCTTGGCAGAGCAGCAAACCAAACAGGGAGACAGACAAAATTCATGCCATATTCTCTAGATATAGTAGCATCCCCTACATTGAATATCCGAATCAAGATTAATTCACAAAAGACTACATAGATATAAGTCTAATTTCAGTATATGGGTTGCTGTTATTGAGCCTTCTGTCAATTAATTAGGAAAGTAAAGACATAGCACTGTCCAGGCCTTTGATATATATGCAGCTGTGTCATGCACAATAGGCCTCACTGTCTCCTCCAGTAGCCTTACAGATATTGCTGAATGAAAACCAATCTGTTCAAGTCTGCACAAGAGACATGTAAGGTGGTCCCTTGGCCTTTTTGTCCATCACCAGGAGGATATCAGCCAGAGATATCTGGATAGTCTCCGTACAATTCCCAAACCAAGACCATAGTTAACAGGGATCAAAGAAATCTGTGGTCTCCAGGTGATTTGAATGTTGCCTTGTCGTCATGGTCTAAATAATATTGTCCCCCAAAAGGGGGTTGTGTAATAAAGATGTTAATTGGCAGCATCAAGAGAGAGTTCACTGAATAGAGAATACTGACTGCTTGGCTTGAGGAAAGCTAGCAACCACCAGTTCTTCTCTAGGGACGTGTCAACATTCACAAATGTACACATTCCTTTTATTTATCAGCAGAAAACATAACCAGTGTCACTATAAAGAAACATTAGATTTGTCTGGAACATATAGCAGTAAGTAAAGCAATTCTATGAAGAATGACATTTTTTTTTAAATAAACGAAGAATTGAGTAATTGGGTAAGATTTATTTGGGTCACTATATTTTCTTTTTTAGGTATTCTAATTTTTAAAAATCTAAATGTCCAATGGATTATTTAAAAAGCAAGGTAAATGGAATGTGGTTCTTCAAATGCATCTTTAGTCTTTGAACAGAAATTCATGTAGGAGGACTGGTATCCATTGGCTCAATCTCTTCTACTCAAAGACTAGTACAGCCATGACTAAAATATGCAGCATACAAAAGTTCAACAGTGTTGACAGAATATGTGGGGGAGAGCTGATCTTTATAAAATAGGATTACCAAAAGGAGACCTCAGCTGTCAGATCAGATCAATTTGGACCATCCATATTAGGAGCAGAAAAGTTAGCATTGAAGAGAGCAGCAGCAATATTGCCTGATTAATGCAAATTATGTGCATCCAGTGGCTCTGAACAAGTAGCTACTATAGTTCCTGGTTGAGAAAACTTTAGGTATGTTTGATCAAGTGCAATTACAAAGTAATTTGGGAAGATTCAATACCAAAAAAAAAAAAAAAAAAATACAAAGAACTGTTACAACTCTCATGGGTATAGTCTAATTTCAGTACATGGGTTGGTGCACATTAATCCTCATTAAAACTAAAGGAATTAACATAAATACTTGACTTATGTTAATCTAATAGGAATTTATGCTTTTGTATTAAAAAGATCCCATTTAGTAGCCAGATACTGAATTCTGAAAGCAGCTTTGCTGCATCTGAAGCTATACCAGGTTATCCTAAAATATCTGCTCTCTTACTGAAGCAGAAACTTTTCCCTTCTTCACAGGTAGTAAAGGAGGTTACTGTAAAAGGTGCAGTTCGTTTAAAATAACTTTAAAGTTTTCTTATATCCCCATTATCTCAGCATGCTTGTTAAAAAATACTTTCTTACCAAGCTCTTCAAGCTCTGAGGTCATTGACTTAGACCGCAAGGTCAATGCAGTGGTTGGCGCTCGCTTTGGAGGTGGTGGGGCTTTGCATTAAATAAAAGGATATACAGTATAAGTAAATATACATCTCAAAAGCATTGTATATTCACATATACACATTGTTAGATAAAAGTAAATCACATAGATTTTTAAAATCTATAAAAATGTGCATTCAATTTCCCATATATTCATAGCAGCAGTATCAAATGCATATACACAATTTCTTTTGGGGGTAGGAAACAAAACATACAGTATGCCATCTGAAGGCTTTGGGAGCTTTTCAGCTATTGCATTTTTAACAATTTTTGGTTTTACTGTTAGTCAAAAAAATTAAACTTAGAATGATATACATTAAAAATCTTTATTCACCTGTGTTTTTAATTTTTTTCACTTGTACCTATCATATTGTGTATGGACACATGTAAAAAAAAAAAAAAACTAAGGACAGTCCACTTCATAATCATGTGTCATCCTTTCAGGTAGTAGCAGCTCAGGGACACACTTTGCCCTGAAGGTCAGCGCAGGTTCTGAGAAAAAGGAATTCCAAATTTCAGTAACCTCCAGTGAAGTTACCTGTCCCTCAATTCCAATGACTATTAATCAGAGGGCACAATCGAATCTGTGGTCGTGATAGCGAAAGAGATGGTTCCTTAGTTTACTAGGAGCCAAATCACGTAGGTCTTTAAACATTTATGCAAACAGCTACTTTGCAGTCTTTGGAACAGGGATGTAAGTTAACATTGTTAGAGAAGCAGAGCATCAGATTTTTTTGCACCATGGATAGCTTCCAAGTATTTTTCATGGAGTGCTGCTCTATAAAGCAGCACTCCATGAAATAACCTCTATCTGGAGATCATTAAAGATAGTCACATGTCATAGAGAAACTCTGTTATCATGACAAATGTAGATAACCAGGAACTTGTGGGGACACCAGCAGCAATCCAGGATCCTGAAGTGTCCCAAACTATAAAGCACCTTGGCAGAGCAGCAAACCAAACAGGGAGACAGACAAAATTCATGCCATATTCTCTAGATATAGTAGCATCCCCTACATCCTATCCGAATCAAGATTAATTCACAAAAGACTACATAGATATAAGTCTAATTTCAGTATATGGGTTGCTGTTATTGAGCCTTCTGTCAATTAATTAGGAAAGTAAAGACATAGCACTGTCCAGGCCTTTGATATATATGCAGCTGTGTCATGCACAATAGGCCAAACTGCCTCACTGTCTCCTCCAGTAGCCTTACAGATATTGCTGAATGAAAACCAATCTGTTCAAGTCTGCACAAGAGACATGTAAGATGGTCCCTTGACCTTTTTGTCCATCACCAGGAGGATATCAGCCAGAGATATCTGGATAGTCTCCGTACAATTCCCAAACAAAGACCATAGTTAACAGGGATCAAAGAAATCTGTGGTCTCCAGGTGATTTGAATGTTGCCTTGTCATCATGGTCTAAATAATATTGTCCCCCAAAAGGGGGTTGTGTAATAAAGATGTTAATTGGCAGCATCAAGAGAGAGTTCACTGAATAGAGAATACTGACTGCTTGGCTTGAGGAAAGCTAGCAACCACCAGTTCTTCTCTAGGGACGTGTCAACATTCACAAATGTACATGTTCCTTTTATTTATCAGCAGAAAACATAACCAGTGTCACTATAAAGAAACATTAGATTTGTCTGGAACATATAGCAGTAAGTAAAGCAATTCTATGAAGAATGACATTTTTTTTTAAATAAACGAAGAATTGAGTAATTGGGTAAGATTTATTTGGGTCACTATATTTTCTTTTTTAGGTATTCTAATTTTTAAAAATCTAAATGTCCAATGGATTATTTAAAAAGCAAGGTAAATGGAATGTGGTTCTTCAAATGCATCTTTAGTCTTTGAACAGAAATTCATGTAGGAGGACTGGTATCCATTGGCTCAATCTCTTCTACTCAAAGACTAGTACAGGCATGACTAAAATATGCAGCATACAAAAGTTCAACAGTGTTGACAGAATATGTGGGGGAGAGCTGATCTTTATAAGATAGGATTACCAAAAGGAGACCTCAGCTGTCAGATCAGATCAATTTGGATCATCCATATTAGGAGCAGAAAAGTTAGCATTGAAGAGAGCAGCAACAATATTGCCTGATTAATGCAAATTATGTGCATCCAGTGGCTCTGAACAAGTAGCTACTATAGTTCCTGGTTGAG